ATACCTTCCACCATCTACATGAACTCTCCTCCATCTCCATCGACATCTATAGGTTACTCTCTACCATCACTATCTACTCCACCGCCTTCATACCCTATCACCACCACTTCTTCCGCCGAAAAATCGATAGAAGGATGATTTCCACCACTTCTTCCGCCGCAAAATCGATAGAAGGATGATTTATTTTGATTTCCACCACTTATGTTTTAGTTAACTCTAATAATCTATATATAAAGTTATCTTTTCTAACCAAAATATCTATATTTAGTTAAGAGTTTAAAATTAAAATTTTTGCGCAACACGAGTATAAATCTAGAAATCAATTGAGTGGTCGTCCCACAAAACACCACAGGAGCCATGTGTAAATAATGCTCAAATATCTAAGTGCACTTACTTTGATGCGCACCAGCCATTAACACACGTTCAAATTCATATTTTAAACATATACACTAATATAAACCGCGTTCGTATTTGTAACGATATACGCGTAGAAAATATATACAGAATTCATTTTGTATACAGCTAATGCTGGTCTAATATGTCTGCGTTTCAACATGTATAAATATCTAAAACGTTTTGACAAAAGAAAAAACAAACATAGCTCAAGTATGGACCTCACGCTCAAGCTCAGTCCAAGCTTCTTCATTTCCTTTCTGATTCTTATCTTTCTTCTCAAAAACCCTCATTTCGTATCATCATCTAATCCTAAATGCATATCCACCGAGCGAGAAGCTCTTCTCACCTTTAAACAATCACTTACTGATCTCTCTGGTCGACTCTCTTCTTGGTCCGGACCTGACTGCTGCAACTGGACCGGTGTTCTCTGCGACCCCCGGACCAGCCGAGTCATCAAGATTGGTCTCAGAAACCCGAATCAAATAGTTCGCTCCGACGAGTATCAAAGAGGTAGCTTGGGGGGTAAGATACATCCATCTTTGACCCGTCTCAAGTTCTTGAGCTACCTGGACCTGAGTTCAAACGATTTCGGCGGATTAGAGATCCCCGAGTTTATCGGCCAGATCGTTAGACTACGGTACCTGAATCTTTCTTCCTCATCATTTTCCGGTGAAATTCCAGCGAATCTTGGGAATTTGTCGAAGCTAGAGTCTCTTGATCTGTACGCCGAGTCGTTTAGTGACTCTGGTACGTTTGCTTTGCGCTCAAGCAACCTCCAGTGGCTTTCGGGTCTGTCTTCTTCTCTGACATACCTCAACATGGGGTATGTGAATCTGAGCGGTGCCGGTGAAACCTGGTTAGAGGATTTCAGTAGAATCTCGGAGCTGAAAGAGTTGCATTTGTTCAACTGTGAGCTCAAGAACTTACCTCTCTCGTTGTCTTCGTCTACAAATCTGAAGCTCCTTGAAGTTCTTGATTTGTCTGAAAACTCTCTCAGTTCGCCGATTCCCAACTGGCTATTTGGTCTCACCAGCCTCAAAAAGCTATTCCTCAGATGGGATTTTCTCCAGGGTTCAATTCCTTCCGGGTTCAAGAACCTGAAGCTTCTAGAGACACTAGATTTGTCTAATAATCTGGGACTCACGGGCGAGATTCCATCGGTTCTTGGAGATCTTCCTCAACTGAAGTATCTTGACCTCTCTGCAAACGAACTCAATGGTCAAATCAATGGGTTTCTAGACGCCTTCTCCAGAAACAAAGGCAATAGCTTGGTCTTTCTCGATCTTAGTTCCAACAAGTTAGCCGGGACATTGCCAGAGTCGCTTGGAGCGTTGAGGAATCTGCAGATTCTGGATCTTTCTTCGAATTCCTTCACGGGTTCGGTCCCTTCCTCGATAGGAAACATGGCGTCATTGAAGAAACTTGATCTTTCTTACAATGCCATGAACGGGAAAATCGCAGAAGGCTTGGGGAAGCTTGAGGAGCTTGTGGATCTGAACTTGATGGCAAATTCATGGGAAGGTGTTATGCTCAAGTCTCATTTCGTGAATCTTAGGAGCTTGGAAAGCATCCGTCTCACAACCGAACAAAACAGATCTCTTGTCTTAAAGTTGCCATCTACTTGGATTCCTCCTTTCAGACTGGAGTTGATCCAAATCGAGAACTGCCAGATCGGTCCTTCGTTTCCAATGTGGCTTCAAGTACAAACCAAACTCAACTTTGTCACACTCAGAAACACTGGAATTGCAGATAAGATACCCGATAGCTGGTTCTCGGGTATCTCTTCTGAAGTAACTTACCTGATTCTAGCAAACAACAGAATCAAAGGTAGACTACCTCAAAAGCTTGTGTTCCCAAAGTTAAACACCATTGATCTGAGCTCCAACAACTTCGAAGGCCCTTTCCCTCTCTGGTCAACAAACGCAACAGAGCTACGTCTTTACGAGAACAACTTCTCGGGTCCTCTTCCACCTAACATCGATGTCTTGATGCCAAGAATGGAGAAGCTATACCTCTTTCACAACAGCTTCACCGGAGAAATCCCATCGTCTCTATGTGAACTCTCTCCACTCCAAATTCTCTCTTTCAGAAACAACCGTTTCTCTGGTAGTTTCCCAAAATGCTGGCATCGTTCGTTCATGCTTTGGGGAATCGACGTGTCTGAGAACAACATATCAGGCGAAATACCATCGTCTCTCGGTGTGCTACGTTCTCTCAGTGTCTTGCTTCTGAACCAAAACACATTAGAAGGTAAAATCCCAGACACACTTCAGAATTGCTCTGGCCTTACAAACATTGATCTTGGAGGAAACAAGCTGACTGGAAAACTTCCATCATGGCTAAATAAGCTATCTTCTCTGTTCATGCTTCGTCTGCAAAGTAACTCCTTCACTGGTCAAATCCCGGATAACCTCTGCAACGTTCCAAATCTACACATTCTTGATCTCTCAGGAAACAAAATCTCCGGCCCGATTCCAAAATGCATCGGCAATCTCACAGCCATTGCGCATGAAACAAGCTTCGAGGTGTTCCAGAATCTTGTCTTCATCGTTACAAGAGCTAGGAAATACCAAGAAATACTCAATAGCATAAATCTTTCAGGAAACAACATAAACGGAGAAATCCCAGCAGAAATCTTGCGCCTTTCTTACCTTCGAATCTTGAACTTATCAAGAAACTCCATCGCAGGAAGCATTCCGGAGAAAATTTCAGAACTGAGTCGCTTGGAGACGATTGATCTATCAAGAAACATGTTTTCTGGAACCATTCCTCAGAGCTTGGCAGCAATATCTTCACTGCAAAGGCTGAATCTTTCGTATAATAAACTGGAGGGGAGCATACCAAAGCTTCTGAAGTTCGAAGATCCGTCCATTTATATAGGTAATGAGTTACTCTGTGGGAAACCACTTCCTAAACAATGTTCCAAAGGACATTACTAGCAGATTGTTGTAGTGAATTGAGCATAAGGTACTAAGAAGTACCTTGCAAGATAATCATTCCCCCAATAATAATAATAAATGATTAGCTCTACGCAGACAATGTTGCAACCACTTATAAGACAAATCAATGGAATCAACAATGAATCTCAGATCAGATCAAACTGCCACAGAAATTACTAGAGCTTTTCAGATTGAACAAGCAACACTGAGCTAAATTAATTGGTAAATATCAAACCATAACACAAGCAAGATTCAATTACTAGTCGAGAAATCACATCAAACAAAAAGGTAATTCAATTCCAATACCGATTCAAAGCAAAAACACTACCTTGGAGAGAGAGAGAGTCAGACGCGAACATTAAAAAAAAAAGTTAGCTTCGCTTTTTGGATTACAAGTAGTAAACCAATCGGTTAGTGAACAAAATTTTGATTCAATCATAGTTCGATTCGGTTCGGTTCGGTTCAGCTAGTTTTTTTTTGTCGTCTGGTCTAGTTACGGCTTTTTTTTCCCCACAAGTAGTGTGATGTGAGTGCAATCTTTGATTTTTTCCCCCCACAAGTAGGGGTTTTGGTTAGTTTGTGAGTTTTAATTTTTTTTGGTTATTAAGCTAATTGACCCTTGATGTATTTCATATTTGTATTTTTGTTTTTTTGGGTCAAAATATTTCATATTTGATGATTTACAAATCGATCGTATTAGGTTGAGAAATTAGTGTGGTTCTTGAGTTCAAAAAAGCTCTGGAAGTGATTGTTTCTATAAATATTTATTTAGTTGGCCCAATAGAGACTAAACAATTTGGGCTTTGATGGCTTCTTAGCCACTGGATCTTTTTCCAAGGCTACAAAAATTATAACGTTGATACAAGTAATAACGTTAACAAAAGTTTAAATTCAAGGAAACTAAAGTATTCGATACCATCTCTCTTTTATTTTTTTAACCAAATGGAACTTGAGAAAAAGTAACGTATGTTAGGGAGCTATACAAATGAGATTATAGACACTCCAAGAAGATATTTGAAGCCAAGCTTTTGTCACAAGGGAAGAATGGCCAATTGTGTTGCTGATCAGATTGCAAAATATGAATGTAGTTTGTTTAGCAAAAAATATAAAAATATGAATGTAGTATATTCCGATTGGTTGATGCGGAGTATCAAAATGTTTGAACTATAATGAGTATAATGTATGTATGTACGTAACGTAGGCAAGTGTTTTATAGTATTATATTTTTCAAAAGATTTATATATAGCTTAAAAGCTGAAACTTGGCGCTTTGTTTATGGAAATGAGGAAGCTTTTTATAATACAACATTATTTACTCTTTGTAACTTTGTCTTCTCCAATTTCTCGTAAGTAATGCCACACCAAGATTATTATGATCAAAATATAAAATCCAAACCAGTTCTTGAGTATATAAATCGGTAATTTTATAGAATATATAATTAGTACAGTGTAGAAAAAAATATAAGTATATAATTAGTTTGTTACTATAAAAAAAATGGATAAAGGATTAAAGATATGTAAAGATTGGGAAAAAGTAAGAAAACGATGGTTCAATGCAACTTTGGATGCCAGGTCTGTCTTCTCTACTTTTACACGCAAAACTATGCCG